TGTTCATATCCTGTACACATTTTTTAATAGGGTTATTTGCTTTTTGGGTGTTGAGATGTGTGAGTTCTCTATATATTTTGGATGTTAACCCCTTGTCAGATATGTCATTTACAAATATATCCTCCCATACTGTAGGATGTCTTTTTGTTCTGCTGATGGTGTCCTTTGCTGTACAGAAGCTTTTTAGCATGATGTAGTCCCATGTGTTCACTTTTTATTTTGTTTCCCTTGCCCAAGGAGATGCATTCAGGAAAAAGTTGCTCATATTTATATTCAAGAGATTTTTACCTATGTTGTCTTCTAAGAGTTTTATGGTCTCATGATTTACATTCAGGTCTTTGATCCATTTTGAGTTTACTTTTGTGTATGGGGTTAGACAATAATCCAGTTTCATTCTCTCACATGCAGCTGTCTAGTTTTGCCAACACCAGTTGTTGAAGAAGCCGTCATTTCCCCATTGCATATCCATGGCTCCTTTATTGTATATTAACTGACCATATATGCTTGGGTTTATATCTGGGTTCTCTAGTCTGTCCCAATGGTCTATGGGTGTGTTCTTGTGCCAGTACCAAATTGTCTTGATTACTGTGGCCTTTTAGTAGAACTTGAAGTCAGGGAGTGTAAACCTCCCCACTTTATTCTTCCTTCTCAGAATTGCTTTGGCTATTTGGGGTCTTTTGTGGTTCCATATGAATTTTAGAACTATTTGTTCCAGTTTGTTGAAGAATGCTGTTAAGTATAATGTTGGCTGTGGGTTTGTCATATATGGCCTTTATTATGTTGAGGTACTTGCCCTGTATATCCATTTTGTTGAGAGTTTTTATCATGAATGGATGTTGAATTTTGTTGAATGGTTTTCAGCATCTATGGAGATGATTCAGATTGATATTTTTATGACCTGTGATGTCTCATTAGTCCAGTGGATACTTTAAATCTGTTAACACTGTTTAGCAAAACTGACTTGAGCATCCTGCATTTCTGATCATTTTATTCTTAAATACATGGCATTTTTCAAGGGCCTAAGAAAGCTTTCCACTTCCTACTTGTGATAAGTATTTCAGAAGCTTTTTCTCCAGTAGATTTAAATTGCACTTTCATCCATCTTTGAAAAGTGCTTTCATCTCAGCAGCCTCATTTGGAGAGCATTCATTTTGATGGCTAGTCTTGGGATTTGTCTTGAGGAATATCAAAACTGCTCATTTCCAGAACTCTCTGATAAAGTATACAGATGATGGTCTAGGAATCTGCAGACATCAGCAAACAAGGTAATAAGGTGGAAAAAAACAGAGACTAGGGGTGTGAGATTTATCCTCAAGCTAACATCACAGGCATAAGTTGTTCTTTTTTAAGCTTCAACAATTCAGTCAACTACAAACACTTCCAACCTGCCATTAGTTACCAGGAACCTGGAATGAGTCACTTGATTAGTGCACATCTAAGTGCTTCAAATAAAAATAATGGTGGTGGTCGTGGTGATTGTTTTTGTTGTTAATTCCTCCTCCATGAAATGAGAGGGTTGTACCAGTGGTTTTTAAATATCCTTAGATGCTTACCCCCAGTTTTAAAAACTAAATCTTTTACAAAAATTCACTGTAAAAAGTGAGTTGCTTTGGAAGGCAATACAAACCATCATGAAAAATCTGTTGTGAAATTAAGATTTTTGAAATTCCAAAACCCCAGTGGAAATAAAATATTTTGAAGGTTTCTCATCCTAATAAGGCCTAATAAGGTAAAAAGCAACTCAGACCAAAAAAGTAAAATTGCTCTGCTCTGCCCATCATCAGGTTGAGAGAGCCCAGATCAGAACACCTGTGAAAGGAACACCTTTCTCCTATGGACACACTGAAGTAATAGTGTGTCAAATATCTCCCCTTCAGTGGGTGACTGCTTTCTTACTCATTGTAGGGAAAACGGAAGTTCCCAAGGCCAGGATCCTCACCTGACCCTAATCTACTTGATGATGTGACTGGCCTGCTGCTAGGCTACTGCTTCCGCACCCACAGGCAATAAGCTATTACAGACTGAGTCACTATATAAAAAGCTCTGCCCAGTGCTCTGTGCCAAGGTGGAAACGGAGGTGGATTATGGAGCTAAAGACTGCTGGATGCAGACATGATTCTAGTGCTCAACCTACCACCATGAAAATAAAGCCAGATGTAAACCCTTTTATCCCAAGAACGTTCCATTGTCATTGGATCCATAGTGAACTTGCCTAGGGCTGAAACCCTCAGGCAAGGCACTCATTGAGCAGCCTTGTTCTGGAAGAACACTGACTATCAGAAATGTTGCTGCATGAAGTCATCGGTAAGGATGAAACATTCCTCTCTCCCTGGAGGATCCGAGTCACCTCCACACGAACAAGCAGCCTTGGTTTCCAGACCATGAGCAGAGCTTCACTTTAAGGGCTTCTGGACACACCCTTCCACATTTATTGAAAATTTGTCAATGGACATAGGACCCTGGGTCCATTCTGTAGTCCAGACCTGGTGTTGATCCTTTGCACACATCCCGGTTTGCCTTCAGCCTGAAAACATTAGCTCACCTAACCTCCACCCACCCACCCCCAAGCCCCTGCATTTCATCTTTGTTTGGTAGGCATCTCAGGGTTCCTCTGGTGTGCAGACTCCCCCACTGCAGTGGGCTAATAAATATGACTCTGTCCAGTGTTGGTTTTGCATTGGAGGTCTTTGGGCTAAGACAGATCACATGCTAATTGTATGATGTTGGTCAAGCCACCTAATCTCTACCTCATCTGTGAAATGCAGGAAATTCTCTCCCTGGCCTTTCCTATGTGATCAAATGTGGCCTTGTACATAAAAGCTGTCCAAGGAGAGCTGCATGTACAGGGTTATTCACTGGAACTAGCACTTCTAACAGAAAGGTTCTAATCTAAAAGAAACGATTAGTCCAGATCATGTCCATTTCAGTGTGTACTACCCAGTTCCCTGTTTTAGCCCTTATGTTAAAGAGTAGAGGGTTTTAGATTCAGCTGGATATTAGTTCAAACCTTGGCACTCTTTTCTATTGACTGTGCCTTCAAGTGAGTTCTTTAGGGTCTTGGAACAATTTCATATGTAGAATGGGAATGGGAATATCTGCCTCCTACTATTCAAAGATAAAAGTTTGAAAGAGTTACATTGTGCCCGGCATATAAGGGTTCACTTCACCACAGTGACAGTTCAAGAGAATCAAGCTACATTTCATTTCATAGTGTCTACATTTCTAGGCATCAGGTAAGCATCATTTCCTTTAAAAAGTCACTGGAGAGCAGAACTAAGTTGATGCTGGTCTCAGGAGCACACTGGCACCAATGTTACAGGGCTAGAGATCGGTCTGTCCACCAGACAGTGGCTCTTTACAAGGTCATTAGCTTCTATTGTGGCGGATGTGGATGGCATATTTGGTCAGAAAACTTTTTCTGGGAGTTCTTACAATTATTCTCCCATGCATATTTAGGGATTTATTCACCAAAACTAATGAAATAATCTCATATAGTGCTTTACTCTGGTCTTTGTTTGTTATTCCTAAAATTACAGAAGATGGGCAAGAATAGCATAAACCACAGCAACTTTAATTGCTTGGAAAAATCCACAAACTTTATTTTTTTAATACAATGTTGGCTGTGGGTTTGTCATATATGGCCTTTCTTATGTTGAGGTACTTGCCCTCTAAATTCCATAGACTTTTTAGAAAAGATAATTGCATATCTCTTGTGAAGAAAAGGTCTATGCTTTATTTTTAAATATCTGACAGCAATGTGTATGAGCTTTAATATATCAATTCCAAAAATACCAGGATTGCATTCAAAGGGAATGAACTTAGCTTCATGAGGTTGGTTTTCTCTGTTGGTTAATTTCTGTGCTATGGAAATTAGCAGTGAGACCTGTTGTACAGAGTAAAATAACTTGACAGAATGAAAAGAAAGAAAAAATAACCCTGCTGCTTTTAAGTTTAACAACATTCTTTTTTAGAGCCAGGTTTAGAAATGGAAGCAAGGAATCTAATTATTTGCAGAACATATATTTTTTTCAATTTTTTGCACACACATTTTTGAAGTTAGCCTCATTAATGGATGCTTTGTGTAACTGTGAAGACTTTTTGTTAAGTCCATATTGATTTACATAAGGAAATAATTACAAAGTAAACTTCAGTTAAATAAATATTACTGAATTCCTACTCTCTGTACCATGGCGGGAAGTGCTGGGAACTCATACAAAGGATACAAATGAAACTCAGTCCAGTAGGAATACAGTCGTATAATTCGACTATTAGAAAATGACAAGGTAGGCACCCTAACAGGGGCTGGAGCGACATGATAGGGCAGCGCAGACAAACGTTTTCTGTAAAGGACAGATGGTAAATATTTCAGGTTTTGTGGGCCATGCAGTCTCAGTGGCAACTATAAACAATACACAAACGAGTGTGACTGTGTTTTCAGTAAAACTTTATTTATAGACACTGAAATTGGGATCTCCTGTATTTCATGTCTCATGAAGTATTTTTTCTTTTGATTTTTTTTCAAGCATTTAAAAATGTGAAACTCATTTTTTAGTTCATGGGCCATACAAAAATAAGTGGGGCTGGATTTAGGTTGTAGATTATTTAGGGCCAAAGATGATTTATTTAAATGGTTTTGTGTCATTTAATATATTTCAGTAGATGTGACACTTTGGCAATGTGCCCATCTGTCCTACAGAATGCATTCCCAGGTGTGGCCTCATTTCTGCGTGTGTGTGTGTGTGTGTGTGTGTGTGTGAGATGTGGTGTGTCCGTGTGTGTGTGTGATGTGGTGTGTCCCCCGGTGTGTCTGGGTCCAGCAGAGTCCAGCCTGGTTGGGAGCGCCAGGGGCAGGTGTCAGCGCGCACGTGTGTGTGTGTGTGTGTGTGTGTGTGATGTGGTGTGTCCCCCGGTGTGTCACAGGTGTCAGCGCGCACGTGCCTGCGGCCGGAGGACCAAGTGTAAGCGCGGCCCGCGCCGGCAGGTACCGCGTCCCGCCTCCAGGGGGCGCCGCCGGAGGCGGCCTCCCGGGGCCGCAGTGCCCGCGTCCGCCGGCGATTTCCGGGGGCTGCCCGGCCGCTCTCCCGACGGCGCCGCGTCCGCAGCAGGTGAGGCTTTGGACGCGGGCCCGCGGGGGTCCCGTCCTGCCCGCTCCGCGCTAAGCGCCGAGGACTCGGGGTGTCGTCACCGCGCGGCGCGTTGCGTCCGGGACGAATGCGGGACCCGGGCGGAGGGCGTGGGGGGGCGGGCCGCGGACGGGGGCGCCCGGCCGGAACGCGGGCTCCGCGCGGCGTGGAGCGGCCGCCACCGCCGTGTCGGGGAGGGCCGGGGTTAGGCCCCGCCTTCGGGCACAGCCCGCTGGTCTGCAGCGAAAAGCAGTGGCTCTCAGTTCATTTTCAGTTGAACGAGACTAGCACTTTTCAGAAATTCTATTTTTAATTATAGAGATTCTTGTTTGTGGGGAGACCAAGAGCTGCAAAAGAAGTCTAAAAACGTCTGGCATTTGGCACTTCCTGAGCTCACGTTCCGTAGGAGCCGTTAGTGCCCCATCGGAATGCTGGCAGAAGTTTCTCGTACCGCCCAGATGACAAAGTGTGGTTTGCTCGTTCACGCTGTTGGCGGAAGACAACAGTGCAGTGGCGCTCGAGACCCAAATAGGGCCACGGTTTTTTAAACACATCTTGACTCCAAGTCTACTTTATTACTATGGCACTGATAGGAAATGCTTGAGACTTTAAAAGCAGGTTATTCATTTTGCTAAATGTCCCAGGAAGAAGTCGTGTATTAAAAACTCAAGGGTATCTCTAAGTTAGCTGGATTGACCTGTATAAAGTGTAGGGCGCACACACGTCCTTATGTACTTTTTCCTATAATTGAAGAAGGTTCTCCCTGGCCTCATGCAATTTACTGAAATGCTAATATGAAGAGCTCCTGCGGTTTGCCCTCGTTTTCCCAAAATGCCTTGTTTTCCTGAAACGACTTCCAGGAGAAGGCAGAAGTTCCTGAATAAGCAGACTACCCTGGTACACAGCATTTGTATTTCAAAAGCTAAGTTTGCAAAGTAAAATCAATATCTGATTGGTGGAGTTTTTGTTTGTGGAGCTGAAGAATGAGCTTTATAAACAGTTGAGGAGAGCAAAGTACAGACTTTTATTTAGAGATAAAGTGAAGGGACAGAGCTCCCGGCTCACGCCAGGAGGGGACAAGAGAGTCCATAGTGGTGCATTGTCTAGGGGGTCTTATAGGCAGTTGAGGATTTTTCGAGAACATGAAAAAACTTAGGGGTGGGGACTTGTTAAGTGGTCCCTGAATATTGAAAATTAACTTAACTGTAAGGAATTTCCTGCCTTGATTTCTCTCTGGGACAGCAGCACCTTGGTCTGGGAGCATATCAAAAGGCTGCCTGCCCAGCCCCCAAGGTGGGCTGAGGTATTGTCTACTTGCTAAAGAATCTTGCTTCTTGAACTTCCTGGGTGTTAAAATGCAGTCTTATCTTTAAGATGGAATTCTCCCTGCCTTTTACCATGCCGTCTACAGCTGGGTCTGCAGCTAAGTTAGTTGCTCAGTTTGCAGAATCACCTCGTCAGATCTGAAGGAGGAAAGACAGCACAGAGGCCTGGGCCTTTCAGCAGGCTAAAGTGAATCTTACACATGGTTACAAATGATTAGCATAATAAACCATGTGCTACTCTTCTTTATCTGGAGAACATTAACTGATCTCACTGAAGAATGATTCTAGAGCTTAATGTTTAACATAGAGTTTTAGTAGGGGTGTTTCCTTGCATGTAGTTACATTGCTCTGACTACAAATGTCTTGCCTTGCCCCCTCCGGAGACTTTCACTACTCCGACTACATCTACGGTCCCTGTCTCAAGGTGACCTTGCCACTGTTAACACGACCTAGAGAAGGTGGTTTTCACGCTGGCCTTAGAGAGCGGGGGCAGCGGGAAGTAGAACAGAATAGGGCTAAAAACCATTACTGTATAAGTTTTTTAATTATCTGTCATTTCCTCTTCTTTTTTAATTTAATAAGATCTCTTGAAAGTTCCAACCTGTGTCAGCTCTTCCACGCCGAGCCAGTGAAAGTCTTTGTACCGGGTCAGCCAGGGCCTTTGTGGGGGTAGGTAGGGCACCCCTGCTGGCGGGCATGGAGGTGAGCGCAGCAGTGTGCAGAGGGGCGAGTCCCAAGGAAAGGCGACCATAAGAGGACAAAATCAGGTGCCCTTAGCAGTCTTCTCTAGAACATTCTCTATCCAGGGGCAAACCTCAGCTATTAAGAGTTTTATTAAGAGAACATCATGTTTAGCAGGAATTCATTCTTTAATTGAACGTCTGTCTCTTGTCAGTGAAACTGCTCAGGACTTGTTTAGGTTGGGCCTGCCCTTGGAGCTGAGAGCCGGCTGGGCAGCGCTCACGCTGTGGATGTGTCATTATACCCGCCAGTGGTTTTACAGAAAAGACGGGTTACAAGGAGGCTCAAGGTTTGTGTGGCATTATAGGTAATAAACATGGTAAATTGCTAAAATGTGAAGAAAGATACAAGAAATACCCAGTGTGCATTTGGAGCACAGAGAGGTGAATTCTCACCTGAGGGCTTGCGGAGGCTCACCTTTGTGCTGGACCTGAGTGGAGGGTAGATTTTTTTATAAAAAGAGGTGTTGAATGGGGGCATTCCTGGTGGCAGACATCATGAGCAAAGATAAACTTAAAATGCAACTAGTCTGGATGGTTTGAAAAGCATTTAAATTTTATTTTCAGTTTTTTCCCGGTATTCATGTGTTAGTGACTGAACTGCATTTCAATAAAGAAAATAACTAGCAATAATACATCTCCCTTCTCCAGAACCTTTCTAAAGCAGCATAACTAACACTTCCCTTTCAATGAAGAAAAGCTGCTGGCTCTGGACTCTGGGTAAGGAGGGCTGGGGCAGGGGAAGGATGGTTGGCCATAGCTTTACTTCCTGATCAAGGTTGTGCGTTTTTAAAAAAATATTTTTACTATAGCAAACCTAAAACCAGAGGGAATAATATAATACATTTCATATACCCACCCAAGAGACTTTAAAGAAGTTTCTTTTTTGGCCATACCTGCTTCATCATTTGTTTTGTTGTTGAAGCAGTTTAAATTCTAGACATACCATTTTACTCCCAAATGGTGCAATATGCACCTCCAAAAAAGGGCATTTTCTTGATAACCATAATATCATTGTCACCCCTTAATCAAATTGACAGTAATTCCATGTTTTCTAGAACCCAGTGCAACAGTCAGATCTCCTTGATTGCCTCAAAAATGCACCCACTTTTACTGTTATTTTGTATGAAGTAGGAATCCAGACAAGGAGGAAACTTCCTGAAAAGGGTCAGATGCTAACTTTCCTAGGCTTTGCAGGCCAGGTGGTCTCAGTTGCTACTACTCAACTGCATTGTCCTGCAAAGGCAGCTATAAATGATATGTGACTTGTACACATCACATTCTGGCTTTCTTTGGCTTTTTGTGTAGTATGGTTTAGCTTGCTCCTCTATCCCCTGTATTTTCTGTAAACTGGAAATTAGATCCAAAGGCTTAGTTAGGTTCAGTTTCTTTCAGCAAGTATACTTCAGAGGTGGTTTGAAAATTTTTAATTACAAATTTAAGTATAAATTTATGACGTTAAAAGACTTGGAAACCCTCACCCAGGAAGCTCAGTATTCCTACAATAGGTGACTGAGAGTACTTTCTTTTTCTTTCTCATCTTATTTTCCTTACTTGAAGAGGAGGGTATAGCTACTATTTCTCAAGGTCAAGAACCTGGAGCCCCTCTGCTGCATTAGTGGGAACTTGCCTCTCCTTAAGGCATACCATAGCCCCTCGGGTAGGTGGGCTGCATTTTCCCCCAGCTGGAAATTTCTTCCCTTCCTGGGCTAAGTTGGCATCCAGCAGAGTATGGGTGCTGGGTTTTCGTTTATAAGCCCCTTATCTCAAACACTCAGCCTTCTTCACTCGCCTTCCGCTTTATCTCGCTCCCCAGCAGGACTGAGAGCTGGGCCTTGGTCCATGGGCCTCGGGTCATGCGGCGAGGTGGGAGTACTTCTCCTCGTGTCCCATTGGGAGGGATTCTGAGGTCAGGAGCTTCTCAGACTCTCGGGCTTACTATGGTGCTGGATGCCAGGGACACACAGTTTTGAAGAGAAAAGCTTCCAGGTAAGAAATGTTTTCTCCTCTGTTCTAGAGCGGTTGCTTCTGAAGTCCAGAGCAGCGGAGGAAGTATGCTGCCCAATAGAGTCGGTTGGTCGGCCTTGTCTTCTTGTCATGTAAGGATAGCAGGGAAACTGCTCATGCCTGTACCTGTTTTTCCCGGCAACAGGCTGTTTGTTGGTCTTCTTACTGATTTGTAAGAATTCTTTATACATCGAGGATATTGTTGCTTTGTCATATATGTTACAATCTGTTTTCCCCATTTTTAAAAGTATGGTTACAGTACTTATGCTCTGCAGAAAATTTTAATTTTATGTAGGCACAAAACATCATCTCCTTTTTCAGTTTCCTTGTTTTGTGTCGTACTTTGAAAGATCTTGCCCATTTCAAGATTATTTTTTTAAGAGTCTCTGTTAAAACAGGTAAGTGACCTTGTGATAAAAATTAGAAACATGTAATTCTGAGCAAGAACAGTATTGAAGGGAGCTCTTCCTACCAGGCAGTGTAATACTGAGTTGATTAAATGTTGGTGTCAAGATTGGCCCTATGTTGCTAAGTGTGGAAGTCGGGTATTCAGGGCTCATTCTATCTACTTCTGTATATATTTGATTTCCCATAATTAAAAAAAAAAGAATAGCAGGGGGTAGAAAGCCACCTTTTTCCCATTCATTCATATACAGCTATTAATAGGCTGCTCTGTACTGAACACTGGGGGTGTTGTGCTAGTAAACACATGAGGTGCTGGGACTTCATTTCTCATGTATACGACGGTACCACTGTCATGGTTAAGAGACCAGCTCCCGTGTCACACTGCCTGACTTCAAATCGTGGCTCTGCTACTTACTAGCTGGGTGATTTTGAACTTTTTAATTTAAAAAATAAGGCATAATAATCATGTCTACCTGGGAGGGTGGTTGAAAGGATGGGAAGAGAAAACCCACTAAAACTCCTTTGTGTGGCACTTAGCATTTAGTAAAATGCTAATAAACATACACCCCAAACGAAAGTTACTGCACTCCAGCAGGGACTAAGGTAGGGAAGGTGTTGGTGCTCAGTGGGTGGATGGATGGGGGTCCTGAGCTTGTCTGGGCTGGTTGTGTGGAGTTGGGAGGACTTTTCAGAGGAAAAGACTTGAGTGGAGATGAGAGATGCAGACAGTCATGTCTTGGAATTGAATAAAAACGCCCTTCGTTGAACTGTGAGTGCGCGGGGGCAGCAGGGCAGGACAGGCGAAGGCCTGGGGCCAGGAGAATGTTTCCTGGGGCCCCCACAACAAATCGCTACCAACTTCATAGCTTAAAGTACCTCAGTTTATTATCTTACATTTCTTTAGGTGGGAAGTCCCACACAGGTCTTGCTGGGCTGAAATCAAGGCATCAGTGGGGCTGTGACCTCCCAGAGGCCCAAAGAGAGTCTGTTTTCTCACCTTTCCCTGCTTCAGAGGCCTCCCACTTTCCTTGGCTCACTGGCCCCTCTCCACCCTGGAAACTAGCAGCAGTGCACCCCCTCGGCCCTCCCACCATGATCCCAGCTCCCTCTGCCCTGAGTTGGGAGAGCTCTCCTTCTCAGGATTGTGTGCTGAGATTGGGCCCATTTGGATAATCCAGGATAATTTCTGCATTTTAGGCTCTTAACTTTAATTATATCTGTAAAGTCCCTTGTGCCATGCAAAGTAAAATATTCATAGGTTCCAGGGACTAGGACACAGGTATCTTTGGGGGCCTTTATTTAATAACTTCTTCTGTAATGCAGAAGCCACGGCAGAATGAGGGCAGCTCTCCAGACGAGGGGTGGTGAGATGCATCCCTCCCAGGGGCTGACAATGCTCAGGGCTAGATCGCTGCCCTTCCCCGCTGAGGCCGTGCATCTACTCCCGATTCCTGGGCCTCTCCTCCTTCAGCATTGGCAGGAGAGGCTTCTGAGTGACGGAGATACCGACTCCATATGTGAAATGTCCCCCATCCTTCAGAGCACCACTGAACAGCTGTCAGAAACCTTTGATTCATTCCCACGCCCATAGATCACTCCTACCTCTGCCCCGTGATGAGGTTTTTGCTGCTCTTCTATTTTGAGTTTTTTCTGTTATTTTTGCCTGTGTCACTGTTTCTGCATATTAGCCTTAAACACTGCCAAATATTTGGTTTGGTTTGCTGTAAAGTTAGGTGCAAATTATCAAAGCCTAATAAAAACCATGAAGGGAATAATGTATCTTACAAATGAATAAAGAACAGTTAGGTGGTGTTCTTGACAGTGTTTGTGAAGACTGTCACTGTTTCTTTTCTCTGTCAGCATTTTACTATGAGCATTTCCAGCCATACTGGAAATATAATAAGCCCTCATGCACAGTAGCAGCGCCCGTGCACCGGCCTGGCTGGGCCGTGCTCGTTCACTGACCTTCTCCTTTTGTTTTTTGAGTTTGAATGTTTGCTTGCTTCTGGAGAATTTTGAAGCAAACGCCAGAAATCATGTCATTTCACCCCTAAATATTTTAGTATGAATTTTGTTTAAAAGATTAGTCTTTACGTAACTATGCTCTTACTTAACAATGAACAAAATCCTTAATATCATCTAATACTGTATTCAAATGTCCCCAGTTGTCTACAAAAGTCTGTGCATTGGTTTATTCAAGACAAGCGCAAAAAAAAAAGCCCATTCATTGTATTTGGTTTATACAATTCCTAAGTCTTTTCTAATAATAACAATTGATGTTTACCAGGCATTAGCTTAATTCAGACATCTCGTATTCTTTTACCTTATATTTTTAACTCAGTTTTAGAGTAGTTGCATGCTCTCACACTTTCATTCACTCATTATTATTATTTTAATTTATATAAAGTAAAATTGACTTTATATACAATTTTTGTAGTGTAATTCTGTGAGTTCTAAATTCATTGGTTCGTGCATCATCACAGTCCTGATACAGAGCAGTTCCGTCACCAAAAAACTCAGAAGACAGAGCAAAACACGCGATTCCTCATCTTGCCCCGTGTAAGTCAAGACGTCCCCCTCCCCTGATCCCTGACAATCCCTGGTCTCCATCTTTATAAATGTCGCCTATTCCAGAATGTCACAAGAGTGAAAGTGTATGCGATGCAACCTTTGAGACTGGCTTCTTTCACTCAGACAGTGTCTCTGAGGTCCATCCATGTGTGTAGACTTTCTTGTTGCCAAGTAGTATTCCATCTTATGGACACGTCACAGGTTGTGTGCCCAGTCACTGTTGAAGGACATTTGGATTCTCTACAGTTTTTGGTGATTCTGAATAGAGCTGCTATGTACTTTTGTATATAGGTTTTTATGTGATCAAAAGTTTTCTTCTTGGTGGGGCAGATTCCCAGGAGTGGGATGACTGGGTCATATGTTGTCAGGCAGCTGCGTCTGGGAAGGTCTCTCCCTGTGCACCAGGTGAAACCTCAACCTGGACAGGGGAAGGTTCTTGACTCTGAATGAGAAAGAATTCTCCAGCAGGTCAGACAAGTGTAGGTAAGGAAGGAATTCATTAAAGCAAGAATAGTAGGGAATGGCAGCTGCTTTTGAGGCAGCTCAGAGCAAGGAGGAGCAGAGGGAGGAAAGGGAAGCTTGTTGAACTCCTGCTCGGCATAGGGCAGATCCCCTGCCAACTCCTAAAGCCAGGGTCACCTGACATCCAGTGTCCGCTTGCATCTGCATGGTGTGGGAACTAAGACCCCACCACCCCAGAATTTGGGGGAGCCACAGAGCACTGAATGGAGTGAGATTTTGTTCTGAGAACTTCTCAAAGGCAAAGAAAGGAGATTTTCAAGCAGGCTATTAAAGAGCGTAATCGAGAGCTGCAGTCCTGTCTGGGTCCCCCAGGCGATGGGAGCTTGCAAGCCCAAGTCAGAGAGCTCTTGGTAGCCCTTCCCTACTTGTTGGAAGTAGGACAGTGACAGTAAAGACTTGGGCTTACGTTTAGAAAATTGAATGAAATAGCAGCATAACAAAGATACTTACCACTAGAAGAGCACAGAGACAAGATGCAGTAAGTTGAGCAGTAAGAAGTCTTTATTTAAGGCAAAAAGTACACACTCAAAGAAAGGGGAGTGTGGGCAACCTCAGAGAGGAGGTGCACTTAAGGGCTTGGGATTCTGTCTTTTAAGCTTTTTAGAAATGGGACAAAGGTGGGGGGCAGTGGGGTGATGTAGGTGTGACATATGGTCTCGTGATGTCTCTCTCCAGTGAGAGACATTATGTCACCATCCACAGTCAGTCCTCTAGAAAATTCTGTAGGATAAACTTAACACAAGGAATTTATTGATCCTGTTCATCTCCAAGAGGGTGGTTACCCTCTAGCACTGGGCCCATGTCATTTAGGGCTGCTCCCCTGCTTTAAGATAGGTTGCTGGCTGATTACCAAAGAATATGTCAGGAATCGTACCATATAACTCCCTGGTTTTTAAAATAGAATCTTATCCTTAGGATGGAGGCCCTCCTGTTCTTACTACACTGTTTGTATCTTGGTATTTTTCATCATAGGCAGGAACAGTTCATCATAATGCTTGTTCCATGTCCCTGCCCCACCTCAATATGGTAATTGTATGTTTGACCTTAAAAAAAACTGCCAGACTGTTTCCCGGAATGGGCTGTACCCCACCATTTTGCATCGCATCTCTGCCAGCAGTGCATGAGAGTTCCAGTTGCTCCCTGTCCTTGTCAGCATGTGATACTATCAGGGTTTTTTATTTGAGCTGTTCTAATGGCTGGTTGTTTTTATTTTAAATGATCTGATTTCAGCTTTTTGAGTATTATAAAAAAATGTTTTTAATATTCTTGAATAAATTAGTGAATTAAATTCATTATATATACCTATTATAAAAATAAATATTTCTGGTTTTCTGCTGATATTCTACATTTAAATATAGTAAATATTCTACAGTGGAAGGTAATTAAATTAAAACGAGAGTGTTATATAGATAGGAGTCTTTCTGAAGTCTCACCAATTGACACATGTTATTTGGCAAAGGATTGCATAATAGTATCTGAATACA